ATGGAAAGAAGTTTGATTCCTCCAGAGACAGAAACAAGCCTTTCAGGTTCAAGATTGGCAGGCAAGAAGTCATTAAGGGATTTGAAGAAGGTGTTACACAGGTACAGAGAAACGATTCTGGCTGAACTGGCTGAGGGGGTGTGAGTCCAGTGCGGTGGTGACAAGGCCAAGTGGAAGTCACAGTGCAGGATACGGAGTGGTTTTCTGAAGGCATGGTCAATTCAAGCTGTGTTCTTCCATCCACCCATCCATCCATCCAACATCTATCCATCCCCCCATCCACCCATCCCTCCCTCCATCCATCCCTCCCTCCCTCCCTCCATCCATCTGTCCATCCGTCCATCCCTCTGTCCATTCCTCCATCCCTCCCTCCCTCCATTCATCCATCCCTCTGTCCATCCCTCTGTCCATCATCCTCCATCTATCCCTCCATCCATCCTCCATCTATCCCTCCATCCCTCCATTCCTCCATCCATCCATCTATCCATCCATCCCTCCCTCCATCCATCCATCCCTCCCTCCGTCCATCTCTCCATCCATCCATCCCTCTTTCCATCCATCCATTCGTCCATCCCTCCTTCCCTCCATCCCTCCCTCTCTCCATTCATTCATCCATCCATCTGTCCATCCGTCTGTCCATCCATCCCTCCATCCCTCCAGCCAGCCATCAACACCCACTACCCATGAGGCTTTCCACATGGTATGAGTTTGGGAGGGGAGAAGTGAAGTCCCCTCCCAGGTGCCTATGTGCCACATAACCCCTTTCCCTTTCCCATGGGCAGCTCCACAAATAGACAAGTGGCCTTTAAAATGTTCCAGGTTTTATGGAGCAGCTTCCATTCAGCTACTCCATAAAAGTCCAAGCTGCTGGTTTTGATGACATCCACGACCGAGCTGCAGATTTTGACTCTGACTGAATAAGGTACCAAATTGCACTGTTAAATTTTTATGACTTCAGGCTCCCAGCTAAAAATCTGAGCACACACTGACCAACCCTACGCTGAGAAAAAGGAGACAGCCCTCCGTTAATTACAGTCTGAGTGCCAACCCCGGAACACCCTGAACACCCGTAACACTGAGCCGGCCGTGTGCGCTGGCAGCCCAGAAAGCCAACCGTATCCTGGGCTGTATCCAGAGAAGTGTGGCCAGCAGGTCGAGGGAGGTGATTCTGCCCCTCTACTCTGCTCTGGTGAGACCCCACCCGGAGTGCTGCATCCAGCTGTGGAGCCCTCAACATCAGAAGGATATTGACCACTTGGAGCGAGTCCAGAGGAGGCCATGAAGATGCTCAGAGGGCTGGAGCCCCTCTGCTATGGGGACAGGCTGAGAGAGTTGGGCTTGTTCAGCCTGGAGAAGAGAATGCTCTGAGGAGACCTTACAGCACCTTCCAGTATCTGAGAGGGGCTACAAGAAAGCTGGGGGGGACTTTTTACAAGGGCCTGTATTCACAGGACAAGGAGTAACAGGTATAAATTGAAAGCAGGTAGATTTAGATTGGATATCAGGAAGAAATTCTTCCAGGAGAGGTTGGTGAGGCACTGGAACAGGCTGCCCCGAGA